CCTCAGTTGCAGAGAGCATGACCTAACAACTTGGACATGATTATCCACTATTAAATTGGCTTTGGCCAAGCCAGTGAAAATAAAGAGCAAAAAAAGGTTTGAATGGAAATCCAGTAGTAGTAGTTCACAATCACTTGTACTTATTCTGACCTGGATTTAATAAGCATGGCACTCAAGAGACTAGCAGTTTCTGAGAAGCACTGAAGTTCTTCCTCATGGTTACTGAATATCATAAATTCCTTTGGCAGGTGAAGAATGCAGAATCTATCCTTGAATATGAGAGAATGGCAGAGATTGGATTTGAGAAGAGAGATTTCAGGATGGTAAGCTACTCATTAGATACAGTTTTAGTTGTTTTTTTGTTTTGTGTGTGTGTGTTTTATTTGTGAGGTGTGTTATTTGTGAGGTGTATTATGTCATAAATACCTGCCAAGTCAAGCATCACGTACTGCAGGTATCTGCTTGTGTTTAGGTTGTCTTTTGCATGGACCGTGCCTTGGATTCTGCCTCCGCTTGTCACAAGTTCAAGATACTAAAAGCAGAGTGTTTAGCCCTGCTGGGGCGATACCCCGAGGCTCAGTCTGTAGCCAGGTAAGAATGCACACTTGAAAAGATTTATTTATTTTTTGACATTATTGTCAAAGGGATATAATGGGGGAAAAGTCACTGAGGTATGTAGTTGCCCTAACATGAAGTACAACAAAACAGTATGCCTTTCTCAGACAGGGCCACTGAAATGTGCAAGCAGTGATTTCCATGCAGGTTGAAGAACTGTCAGGATGAAAAATCACAGCTGGTCAGGGCACGGATCCTTAAATTTAATCACTCCAGTTTGCCTTGAACATGAAGATTCCTTGTTGTGTTTATATGTAGTGCTTACTATATGTTCTGAATAGTGGGAACAGCGATTGTCATGATTTGACTCTTCTGATCTTTACTAGGTTGTCTGCAATACATTAAACAGTTGAGTTTTCAGAAATGAACTTCTCCTTTGAAGATGGTGTAACAGTACATTTTTTAATGTGATTTATTCTTTTTAATTGCACTTTGCCTGTAATTATCTGTTTGTATCCAGTGATATTCTTCGAATGGACTCCACTAACGCGGACGCTCTGTACGTGCGTGGTCTTTGTCTGTACTATGAGGACTGCATTGATAAGGCTGTGCAGTTCTTTGTCCAGGCCCTGCGTATGGCTCCTGACCACGACAAGGCTCGGCTTGCGTGCAGAGTGAGTAACTCAGTAGCTAACAGCTAACACAAATTTAGCAGGGGGAAAAAAATCTCCTTCACCAGTCTGCTTGAGGTTTCAGTTAGCTCAGAGGAGCTTTTAAAGCTGCTGTATGAATTTTCTACCCAGAATGCCAAAGCGCTAAAAGCCAAGAAGGAGGAAGGAAACAAGGCATTCAAGGAGGGAAACTATGAGGCAGCATGTGAGCTGTACTCTGAGGCGCTAACAATAGACCCTAATAACATCAAGACAAATGCCAAGCTGTACTGTAATAGAGCTACAGTCGGATCAAAGGTAAGACATAACATTAGTTTCATTAAAATATGTCAATTGTAGGCATACAGACACCACAGGTCACTACCTTTTCCTGTCTCTTTGCCTCACATGTTCACATTTTCTTTTTCTTTGAAAGCTCAAGAAACTAGAACAGGCCATTGAAGACTGCACGAAGGCCATCAAACTGGATGAGACCTACATCAAGGCCTATTTAAGGAGAGCACAGTGGTATGCCGAAGATTTTACTTTGTTGTTAGTAGACAGACCAACTTGTATGTCATTTGGTTTCTTTAAGCAGAAGCTTCACTTTTTTACCGACACTTTTGTATTTTATAGTTCAAATTGAGTAACGAATTGACTGAAAGACTTGTGCTTGGTGTCCTGCAGCTACATGGACACGGAGCAGTACGAAGAGGCAGTGCGGGACTATGAAAAGGTTTACCAGACAGAGAAGACAAAAGGTGGGGGCAGAGCAGATATTACCACCTCACAGTGCTCCTTTTCCACATATTGGCACCTTTGGACTAGTATTAAGTTGCCACTTTAGAGACATTACATAACTGTTTTTAATGCAATGCTTACTAATCTACATGCTGTGTGTTTTTGACTTTATTACCTAGAACACAAGCAACTCCTGAAGAATTCCCAGCTGGAACTGAAGAAAAGCAAACGGAAAGATTACTACAAAATCCTCGGGGTGGATAAGAACGCAACAGAAGAGGAGATCAAGAAAGCTTACCGCAAACGGGCACTTTTACATCACCCAGGTGCTTGATTTCTACGTAAAAAGAGAACTAAACATCACATCAATGAAGAGTCCTGAATTGTAGGGGGAAGTTTTTCTGCAGCAAATATGGCCATATAATTTCCAGTGAAAAGATATTTTAAAACATTATATTAGGGAACTGTTTTTTTTTTTTAATCTTATCTTTATTCAGACATTTGAAATGAAAATCAGTTTAGATAATCCTTCAAAATAACTGCCTAAATAAGTGACATGGGTGATTTTTGGTATGGCAGCTGAGCTGTGAGATTTGCTTCTAGAAGGACTTTGATTTAAATTACCAAATATAATACTGCTTTCATTTTTCCCCCTCCCTTTAGACCGTCACAGTGGAGCTAGTGCTGAGGTACAGAAGGAAGAGGAAAAGAAGTTTAAGGAAGTGGGCGAAGCTTTCAGCGTGCTTTCTGACGCAAAGAAAAAGTCTCGCTACGACACCGGACAGGATCTAGAGGATGACGGCATGAACATGGGAGGTGAGCATATGGGCCGACTTCAGTGTGTGAGGTCTCAAGGATGATCAGATTGAAATGATACGAGAAAATTCAGCCAGATAGTTCTGTGTTCATGTCGCTTCTTGTGTTTTCTTTCTTTCCAGATTTTGATGCCAACAACATTTTCAAGGCATTCTTTGGAGGTCCAGGGGGTTTTAGTTTCGAAGGTAACATATGTTCTGTTTGAAAGTAAAAATCTGTCCCTCTGCCAGCCATTTGGAAGGAGTCCCACAATCTGAGAATATCCTAAATGCGCTAATGGTTTTGTTTTTTTTTATTATTTTCAGCATCTGGACCTGGAAATTTCTTCTTCCAGTTTGGTTAATTGGAAGAGTCGACTACCTAAACAGTTACTACATCAGGACTTTCCAACAATGTCAACCCCACAACCCATCATCTGTATTTAATAACTGACTGATTTGCAAGTCAGTTTCCTGTATATGCCATTGACTGAATGAATGCAACCCAATGCAGCAAATGCCCGTCTAGCAAAGGACACCAAGTTGGCTCAAACTGAGTTGGTAGTTTTACTGGTTTTGGATTTAGTTTTCTTCCTTCCAGAATTAAACAAACTTGAAAGTCGGTAATGGCTAACAACACTGGTCCAAATAGTCTGGATTTTTCAAATAGGAAAGATTGCACAGCTATTATATTAGAGCTTTTAGGGATCCATGCAGGAAGTGCCATCCTGGGGAAAACTCTCGAGCAAGCTATTATCCTGCTCATCTCAACTTACTGCTGAGGGGGGGTATTCTCTGCATGACAGTTAATAACTTGCTCAGTGATTTGTGATGGAAATCACTGAGCAAGCTGCACCATCCCCGTTTTTTTTTTTTTTTTTTTTTTTTTGACGAATCTGTCACACAGACAGTTGGCTGCTACGAATTCGCACTGAAAACTGCCTCCTTGTCATAAGCCTTTGGGAGCACTCAATCTTCTTTTTTAAGTTGACAACAGCTGGAGTCTAGACCTACGCATGTAATTCAGCCGAAGCACACTAGAAAGGCGGCAGAGGAGACGGCCGTGCTGGTTTTGTTGTCAGCAAAGTCTCCGTCCCTTCTGTTGTTTCACATTTGATGTTGCCATTCACAGATTGCTGCATTGTACATTTTACTGGAATGTAAAGTGTTGATTTGTGATAATAGTTGAGTTTCTTTTTTTCCATTTTTTTATCGTCATAATGTATATTTATTGTAAATTTGCTGTCTGATATAAACGTCAGCGTAAGATGAAGATGCTCTTCTCCTAAGATTGAAAGAGGCACCCACCATGAACACTACGTTGGGAAAAAAAATAACCAAAAAACCTCAGGAAGATGATTGGTTTGCTAGATCTGCATGGCATTTTAAGCTCAAATCGATTACAGTATACAGTAGAGGTTATTTGACATTGAAGCTGTCTAATTTTATTCAATGCAAGGTGGAGGCATCGAGCAAAAGTGACAACTTTATTGCTCCACATAAAGTGAAATCTGTTTGCTGTTGTCCAAAATGTTCAGGTGCTGTGTGATGATTGAAACGTAGGAATGTTTAATCATTTCCCCATTAGTCCATTGGTGCACTTGAGTATGAAGAGTGTCCTCATTTTGCTCTGATTGTTTTTGCTCTTTATGGTGAGAGTGAGACCATCCACTCTTTTCCCTGGAAAAGTACCAGCCATGACAATAAAGTTGGCCTCCTCTGGGTTTCCCCTAGATTGATATCTTTCTTTTGTTTGGAATCATTAGTTTAGAAGTATTGCATAAAGATACCGTGTGGTTTTACAGATTGCTGTGGGAGTGAGTCCTGCAATCTGGTATCATGCCAAAAAAGTGATGTCCTGTATTTGCCAGAAAAGAATGATGTATCTCGTGAATAGAGCTGCAAACAGTTATTGGGGAAAGTGACTTTTATATGTCTTATTTGTTCTAGTAAAATTTCACGGACATTAAAAATGTCTTTTTCAAAAGAGATCTGACCAAGAGGGCAGCAGAAATTAAAACTTTAAAAATATTTTAAGTTGCCAAAAAAGAACTGGAGTGAGTAAAATGTGAACCATAGAGTGGGGAAAATATCACAGTCATAAAGAGGCTTCTAAAATAGGTTTATATCTTTGTTTTGTTTCGGAATTTTAAGAAAAAAGTAGCGTGGAGGTTGGTGTACTGCAGGAGATGAGCAGCAGAGGGCGCTGCTTCCTCGCGATTCGTTTGTTGGTGTTGCTAGGATACCAGCTAAACGTGGATCGATGCGTTGGGCTAAAGTTTATACGAGTTAAACTGGCTTCAAGTTGACGGAAAGAAAGTTTAAAAGTGGCCAAAAATGGCAAACATCGACGCAGACCTCGAAGACCAGCAATCTAAGGGCGTATTCGCAACTTTAATGGCCGATGGGAAATGGATGTACCAGGCAGGAGAGTATAAAAAAGCTATAGACAGCTTCACAGAGGTAAGTGTTAAGTGTCGTTACCTTTTCTCTGATTTTTTTAAGCACTCTAGAAATGGCTCACTTCTTTTCTTTGTTTAGGCACTGGCTTTAAAGCCTAGTGACAAGCAGTGCTTTGTTGCTCGGTCCAGATGTTACCTGAAGATGGGAGGGTTTGACAACGCTTTGAGAGATGCAGAAGCTTCACTTAAAAGAGACAACTCGTTTTTTGAGGTAAATGTTTTTCTGCTGTCATGATAGAAAATGAGTAAAATGTATCTTTATATCCCCGCTAAAGGTTCAGTGCCTATTGTATACATTTGTTTTGAATCACCATTTTAGGGTTTGTACCTGAAGGCAGAAGCTTTATACTACATGGGAGAATTTGAATTTGCCCTGGTGTTTTACCACAGAGGCCATAAACTACGTCCACAAATGCAGGAGTTCAGACTGGGTATCCAGAAAGCACAGGAGGCCATAGAAAACTCTGTTGGCAGTAAGTGTCTTGTTAATAGTGTTGCAATCATCTCACATCTCCTTACCTAAAATATGAGCCGCTTGTTCTTTGCCATCTTTTAGGTCCTTCCAATGTGAAATTGGAGATTAAAGGAGACCTGTCATTTCTCAACATAGGTGGTGAGGTGAGTCTTTGGTGCATATATCTTCAGTAAATAATAATAATAAAAATAATAATAATAAAAACAACCCCACTGAGGTAAGTCACAATTATCACAGTACAGCACAAACTCAGTTAAACTTAAGGGACATCATCTTACCAGCTGGGATGCTTAAACCAATGTGAATCGTGCTTTGGTGCATTGGAGAGGTAAGACCAAGGAAACCTCCAAAAGTCTTTGCAGCTGGTAACTAGGATGAAACTAGATGTGTATCTAGGATGGCACATCTATTCAATGTGCCATTGCAATGACGTTTTCTTTGTCTCCCAACACAGTTACCAGAGTGTGGAGCAGTTTGGTCAGAGCAGCATGAATGATTAGCCTTCTGGAGGTCTTTTTGTAGGGCTGTGGCAGTGCTCCTCCTGTTCCTCCTTGCACCAAGGAAAAAAATACTGGTGCAGCTCTCTTTAACAGCCTTTCTCCTGATACAAGTTCCCTTAATTTTTATTTGAGCAATGTATTTAACATGCAGGCTTAGAGGCAGAGCTGTTCTAACGGTACAAGGGAAATAACAATAAAAATGACAGTATTTGTCATTTAGCCAGGATTCGTTGCAGGAAGGCACTACAGCTCGCTGTATATCAAAACTGCTAGACAATAGAAAGATTTCTTCCCTCTTGCTATGAATCCAATGAACAGTTGTCTTGATGCATGCTTAATCATCCAGGTAGGTAAATCCATGTCTGAAGAAGTCACTTGGATGAACAATGAAACATTTCTCCCACTGAAAGAGACTGAAAATGTTACATAAACAGTTAAATCCATGCACACTCAAATCCTATCACCACCTGTATGTATTCTGTAGAACAAGGCTGAGTCATTGCTTCAATTATGTGTCTTGTCTCAATCCCCCCAAAACCCCTGCAGTTTTCTGTATGCAATGTTTAGCCTGACCTGTCTTCTGATGCACAGTGTTATGTTATGTTTCTGAACTGTTAAGAGGGCCAAACCAATTGCAGCTATCCAGAATCTCACAAAGAAGAAAAATCAGAAGACTGAGAAAACCCCAAAGAGTGAAAAGACAACCAAACAACTTCTGGGCGAGTTTTATAGTGACAAGAAATATCTAGAAAATCTGATGAAAGATGAAGGTAATTTGCTATTTGTTCAAATTTACACACACTGTATGTTTCTATGTATCTAACTGTCACCTAGCATATACTGTTCAAAATGTTTACTTAAAAAAAACAACTATATCTGTTTCATTCTTGTTGAATAATATTAATAGCTGTTATGTAATGATTTGCAGACTTGATAGAAGGTACAACAAAGAGTGGGGAGAAGGTGAAGGACATCATTCAGAGATGTCTGTCTTACCTTGACACTTGCACTGAATTTTGGCACCAGGAGAAGCCTACTTCTGCACAAGAAATGAGGCAGAAGTTCATGCAAGAGAAATGTACAAAGCGCCGTAATAGGGCACTCTCTTCTGGATTTCTGCTGAAAAGCCTGGATGAAATTGACAGAGGCAAGATAGCATTCTGGATAAACATAGACCTTGATTCTCTCTTTTACTTTCAGTTTAAAAATTCTCACTGTCCTCTTTGTCATCCCAGAGTTTATGTCCGGAAATGCAGAAGGCACTCTGAAGAAGGCAGAAGAAGTCATGAAGATGGTGCAGAGGTGGTCTGAGAAAGAGGTTCCTAATAAAAAAGAGGTTTTGGGCACCTTGCACAGTTGCATTGGCAATGCTTTAGTTGACCTGGGAAACATGGACAAAGCATTGGAGCATCATCAGAAAGACCTGGAGTTGGCCAAACAGTGGTGAGAAGAAAGGCAGAATAGGAGTAAAACTACATATTTGGACGAGAGATTAAATCCACCACACAAACTTCTTCATAGACCAGAACCAGTTCTATAGAACATATTACTATTGACCGTCAGCAGCTTCACTGGCTTCTTGTAAAGTATTGCATTCATTTTAAGATTTAGCTTCTTACTTTCAAGTCTCTCCATAATCTCGCACAACCATATCTCTCTGGTCTTCTGCACATTGCTACTCCTTGCTATACCTTGAGATCCTCCTCCTCTTTTTCTTTCATTATACCACCTACTCGTCTGACTACCATGGATTTTAGAGCTTTCAGCCGAGTGGACCTCTCATCTTTAGAAATCTCTCCTGTAGCACACTCACAATATTGATTTTCTTCCTATTATTAAAACCAGCATTAAAATACATCCTTTTAAGCTCGCTTATTCTCTTTGATTCTGTAGTATTGAATTTTAATTCTACAATTTTTCCATTTTTTATACATACAGTTATGTGTCCCTGAGTGTCTTGAAAGGTTCCTATAAATATTTTTTAATCACTATTATTATTATTATTATTATTATTATTATTATTATTAAACATTAAGAAATCTTTTTTTTTTTTTACCTACAGCAAGCTCCCAGGAGCACTGTCCAGAGCTCTGGACAACATTGGCCGAGTCTATGTTCGAAATGAAGAGTTTGCAGAGGCCATTCAAGTGTAAGTAAATAATCAAATAATACCTGCACTTGAATTCATCCAAAAACTATGTTTATTTCTGACACATTTATTTAATCCTTTTTATTCCATTTTGTTTATAAGCTGGGAAAAGAAGCTTCCGCTGGTTTGCAGTGATTTGGAGAAGACATGGTTGTTACATGAGATCGGTTTGTGTTACCTGAAGCTCGATCACCACGAAGAAGCTCGAGATTATGGCGTCCGTTCAGTAGCTGCTGCTGATGGAATCGCCGATAAGAAGTGGCAGTTGAATGCCAATGTTTTGGTTGCACAGTCAGAATGTAATTGGTTATTTATTTATGATGCATCACTTTATATTAACAAAACAGAGACACGCAACTTTAATACTTTACTTCTTAAACCACAGTGTGTTTGAATCAGTCATACTGTTGCACAGTTCTTTAACCTGATCCCAGTTTACTCTTTTATATCAGTGAAGCTTGGAAACTATGAATCTTGTGTCACCCACTTTGAAAGAGCTTTGTCCTATGCCAAACTTCTAGAAGATGATTCTGCCATGGATGCTATTGAGAAGGTTCGTGCTTCTTTGTTGTATACATTCTTTTGTTTTCCTTTTTACGTACGTTTTTTCAGTCCTGACATTTCTCATTTGTTTTCAGGCCCTTCATGAAGCAAAGCAACACCTAACACAATGAGGAACCCCTTCAGTCAGAATGGTTGAGGAAAAGAAGAAGAAAGACTCATTTTGTGTGTGTGTGTGTGTGTGTGTGTGTGTGTGTGTGTGTGTGTGTGTGTGTGTGTGTGTGTGTGTGTGTGTGTGTGTGTGCGCTCATTTACACACCTATATGGAACACAGCAATAAAGCAGTAACTTAATCAAATGAGAAGATCATATTCAGAGTTGTAAAATATATCCGTTTTATGAACAGTGATTCGTTGTGGAATAAAAGTGTTTATGGGAGATGCTTAAAACTTGAATTTCGGATGTTCAGAAGAACAATGCATACCGACATTTTCTGTAGCATTTTTACTAAAGCTATAATTCTTAAAGCTTATGCAGAATTATAGTAGTTCTGAAAAACTCTTCTTTTTTTTTTTTAAATGAATATATTCAGGTACAGTCATGATGTAATTGCTGAGCCCATATTTTTGTTCTGTGCAAGTTCCATGACAAACTGAAATGTTATCTGGAAAATGTGTCACTTGATATACAAAGTTCTGTTTACTGATATAAATACTGAAACCTGGCAACCATTAAGTCCCATTAATCAGTATTACCTTAGAGCTTCCATATATAGAGATTAACTTATTATAGAGAACTTCCTTATTTCACCTTCCTAGTACCCCTATTACAAGGCGTGCACTGTGTGATTTGCAAACAGATGACTGCTTCTTGCAAATTTCCCATTGATAGAAACACAGCCTGCTTACAGTTCATAGTTTCTTCACAGAACCTTTATTTTACTGAAGTTTTAATAAGATGTTTTTCCATTAAAGAGAAGTTGTGTTACTGTCACGTACCCAAGTGTTTATGCAAACTTTTTTTTTACTGAAACACAATTGTTGTGATATAAGTGACAGTGTGTGTAGTGCCCTTTGAATTTTAACCACATAAAATGTTTGCATAATATTACCTGTATATGCAAACTAAGATATACTAGAAACCTGTTTGCCTTTTTAAAATTTGGATATCTGTTTTTTTTCCTCTCTTGACTCTGTGACTCTTGTGTGACTTTTGTTTGGTAGTGGTTGTGACAACGGAAAATTACTTCCCTTTCTTTTACTTATACTGTTGTTGATATCTGTATAATTTAATTTAGTCTGAGGGTAGGTTAAAAGGAGGATATGTTTTATAAACACCTTTATTCGTGATTAGGACAAAAGTATTTGTGCCTGAAAACATAATACTTTGCAAAGTGAGATTCAGCCTTACTGTCAACTTTGCATTGTGTACAGGTTTAAACAATGGCTTTTCCACTGACCCAATGTGAACAAAATATACGTAAAATGGAACAGAGAGCTGTAACAATATGGATAAGAAACTACAAATGAGGTATCAAATATAAATAGGAATTACAAGAGATATATTAAAGCCTATATAACTGCTATAGATTAAAATATGTCTACAAGGTTCTAATTGTCATTAATATTTTAACTGCCATTCATTTTATAAAATGGGGAGTATAACTAATTAAACAGCAGATGCTCTATTATGTTAATATCAGCATCTATTAATACTATTTTGTCTGTAGTTTTAGTTCCATTCACGAGCTTCTCCTGAAATCAATGCAAATACACTGGAAAAAAGAAAAATAACCGATAAAATAAAGATTAGATTAAAGGTACAGCTTCCACAAAAGACTTCCGGTCTATAGGGGCGTGTCCTTGACCACGCCCAGATGCGCGTTCCCGGGATTTACTTTTTTTTTTTTTTTTTTTCCGCCTTCCACCCCTTGAAGAGTGGGGCGGGTACCCGTCTGTGCTCAGGATTGCGTTGTCATTGTATTCAGAGAGAAACGCGTGGTCAGCGGCAGCCACGACCAGCTCCACAGCAGCGACATAACTGGTAAGCGGACGTTTTAGCGAACAAAACTCTTTTGAACTGCTTGCTTCAACGCTTTTGTTTTCCCGAACTACCTTAAAAAAAAATTGGCCCAGTAACACGCGTCGACTTGTTTACACCCTGCGTGTTAAAGTTGTCGAGTCGTGGCGTTACGCCTGCTGATGGTCCAGCTAATTTCTACTGACTGCCAGATTAAATTGGTTTTGTCTGGGCTGCTAACGGTAGGTGCACGCCACTCCCCGCCTAGCCACAATGTGCTGATAGTAAAATGCAGGCTAATCGCCAAACTCCCATCGATTTCCTTTGTTTAAAACGGTATTTAAGGTCCTCTGGAGGCTATCTCATAGATTTGGTTAAAAGAAATAGTTAGCGTGGTGTCTTTAATGTAATTCAAACTTTATTTAATCAACAAAATGAGAATTATCGTCATTTACTGATTATTGTGTATGAGATAAAGACGAACCCATTTTTTTTTCTGTTCTTGTTGCCCCTCTTTGTGTCTCTGGTTTCGATTGCTGTGCATTTAGGTTTTTTTTTTTTTTTTTTTTCTAAACTGGAAAACACCGGGATTAACGACGGCCAGCTTGGCTTTGTTGCCACATTGTTTCGTGAGAGCTTCCCCCTTCTCCCCAATGACACGTCGTAGTTTCACCCTATCTGTTAAATCCAGCGTTTAGCAACGCTTTAATATTTGGTCAGAGCTTGCCATACGGTTACACTATGAAGTAACTACACTTCCGCGATGCCCCATTTTCTTTATTGCCCTTTGTCTTGTTTTTTGCTGGCAAGCTGTGGCGCATATGCAAGGTTTTAATACAGTGCTTTCCCTCAATTTACCAGTGAACTGGAGATTTTTGTGGTTTTACCAGATGAATAGGAATTCACGTAAAAGGGGGAGGAGAAGAAGACGGCATTCTTCTTTCACTTCTTCTATGTGCACAAAGCTGCAAAACCCCCTCCGTCTCCAAAAATGAACATTAAAGCTCAAGTTATTTGCATGCCAGAATTTTCTTTTTTTCTCCCCACCTTCTGCAGATGTAAAATAGTGTGTGTGTTACTGATTTAGGGGAGAGGAGTATAATACAGCCTCTGCAAATTTTCAATATTGTGTAACTTCCCCTTAAGACATTCTGATTGCAATTCTTGCAGCACTGTTTAAATTGATGACCATCAAAAGACTTCAGAAGTGACAGTTATGGGGGGAAAAAAAGACTAGGAGTTCCTTTTTCAAATATGTTTGCTGCACATTTGCATCGTCAGTTGTAGTTAAAGTGGGGTGTTTTTGTTTTTTGTTTGTTTTAACTGGAATTGATTATTTTTCTGTCTGATACACTTCTGGAAATCCCAAAATGTAACCTGGTCTTAAATTTTTAAGTTAGGCTAATGTGCTAGATCCGTTTTAAAAGTGATAAATGAATTTAATATCCTTAGTGAGCCTTTCCTTTCCTGAATTCAGTAAATTGATAAAACTATTTGTCTTCTGATTGTATGTTTAAGGTACATGGTGGTGTTTAAAGTTGGACTTTGAACCAGAAATGGATACTGAGAAGAGTGGTGAGGTTTTAGGTGCGTCAGAGACTCCACAGCAAGCGGAGACTGCAGTGGAAAAAGCAGCTGTGGAGACGCCAGTGGAATCCACAGAGCTTGAGAAGTCACCAGCTGCTGAGGAAGCAACTGGGAAGATGGCAGTACATGGTCAGGAAAGCGAGGTCGTGAAAGAAATGGAGGCGCTGAGTGTGACAGACAAGGTGGCGATGCCCACAGAAAAAGCTGATGCAGACTCGGTGCCTGGCGCAGCAGCGTCACAGCAACCAGAAGAGTCATCTGAAAAGAAAATCTCTGAACAGCAGCCAGAGAACAACCCAGAATCTTTGGCTTTGCAAACGCCCCTGGCAGAGAGCGCCCCTGAACCAGCGCCAGAGAAAGCGGCCGAATCTGTTCCAGAAATAAAAGTGCAAACATTACCTGACTCGGCCATGACACAGCAGCCAGTAGATACACAGCCACCGGGCCCAAAAGAGAAGGAACAAGCTGAGTCTGTGGGAGAACTGCAAAAAGCAATGGATACTGAGGCTGAAGGTGACTCCGGAGCTAAGCCTAAGGAGAAGGAAGAAGCCAAACCAGAAGAGACTGTTGTGGTGTCTGACACTTCTTCAGAAAAGCCAGCAGAAGCTGAAATGCTAAAGACTGAGGCTTCAGCAGAAGTTGGAAATGTGAGCCCTGAGTCGGAGCCTCAAAAAGAAGAGGATATCGTCCCAGCTTCTGGCTCTCTGTCTTTTGCCTTTTTAGAACAGGAGCAGACCAAAGATGCCCTCCGAATCTCTCGTACCCTTGTTGTCCTTAGAGGCCTTCCAGGGAGCGGTAAAACCTTTTTGGCACGTGCCATAGCCGACACCTACAAAGACCACTGCACCGTCATTAGTGCTGATGACCATGGTGTTAAACCTGAAAAACCAGAATCTAATGCAGAGGGCTACAAAGCACTGGATGAAGCTGTAGTTGCTCGTTGCACAGACGGAAACTCTTCCTCTGTGCTGATAGTGGTAGACGACACCAACCACACCCAGGATCGCCTGGCCCGTCTAGGAGAGATTGCCGAGGAGAACAATCTTGTTGCTATCTTCTTGGAGCCAAAAACTGAATGGAACAGAGATCTTGGACAGCTGACCAAGAAGACCAAGCGTGGCCTAGAGGAAGCCCATCTGGCAGCCATGAAAGGACCACTTGAAGAAGTGTCCCTTCCTCTTTACTTTGGCTGGTTCCTTCTGTCCTCTATCCAGGACAAGATTAAATGCACGTCAATGGACTTCCTGAAAACACTGGACACCTTGGAGGCCTTCAAGAAACATTTGATTGACTGTGAGTGTCTAATTTTTATTACCAAGTAACTGAACTCTCTTAATTAGGGGTGAAAACTTATTTCTTTCTTTTCCTTTTTTGTCATAAACAGTTTCAGGAAAAGCTGAGGAGGTGGACCTTGAGCAGTACTTTCAACCAACAGGAATTCTCCATTGCACTACGAAATTCTGTAACTATGGAAAAGCTGAGGGTGCCAAAGAATATGCAGAGAAACAGGCAAGAAACAATTCAATTTTCCCAGAAATGAAAGCATTATTCATTTACTTGTAATTGCTGAACTAACATTGAATACTAACCATAATTTCATTTAATTTGATCTCTTTTTATATTTCCTCTTCTCTAGGCTGTAAAAGATTCCTATGGTTCCATCTTCAATCTGTCACTTGGTGCCCTCTTTGTAACCCCTCGCACATTTGGTGCCAGAGTGTCTCTCACTGAGGAACAGCTTCAGTTGTGGCCAGCTGATGCTGAT